TGGTATACACTAACGAAGGACGTCCACTTCTAAGTAAATTTTACAAGGAAGTGAAATTAAAAGTCCGGGAAACGCAGGACAAGGCATGGAGAGAAGGGATGTCCCGGAAACCAAGCCTACAGATATACAATATGTATAAAGAGAGACGAGGACTGACCGCAGTCGGCACGTATAACAATAGAAGAGGCAGTACCCTACTCGCACTAGCGAGAGCAGGGATGCTGCCGACTCGAAAATACCGCAGTAAGTTCCAAAACATCCACCCGTACTGCTGTTGGTGTGGGATGGAGGAGGAAACTATCCAGCACGTGCTATTAGAATGCACCCCACATCACTTCAATGAAGAGGAACTCCGTAAGAAATTGGGACTCCAGGAGCTCCTGGACCGTGGAGTGCTGCGAGAGACCAAGGAACTACTAGAGCGATGGGAAAAGGAGACCCGAACGATCTGCTGAGAAATCGCCCCTGAGATAAAAGGGATATGAAACCTGTGATATAGTATCACGGGAACATATGGATCAATAAAACCATGAACCATGAACTACAAGGGACAGAAGGCGTGAAGGTTTTCTACGACGATATAGTGATCGTTGCGAACACTCGAGAAGAGCACATCAAGCGGTTGGAGGCGGTTCTGGAACGGCTAAACGCCTACAACTTGCGGATTAACATCAAGCAGAGCGAATTTCTCCGTGATGAAATTGACTACTTGGGATTTCACCTATCAGCCCGGGGTATCGAGAAGATGGAAGATAAGGTGCGAAATGAGCCCACCAACATCTACATCAGAGATAAGAACCTTTATGGGTATCGTTCAATTCTATGGTACATTCATAAGAGATCTGGCGAGCATCGCCTACCCAATCCACAGTCTCCTGAAGGGAAACGTCAGTTTCAAATGGTCGAAAGAATGTTCCAGGGCATTCGAATCAATCAAGGAACGATCGGCGTCAGATACGGTGCTGATTCCATCCCAGCCCGAACTGCCGCTGATCGTGGCGACGGACGCATCGCCGGTCGGCGTTTCGGCGATCCTCAGTCATCGCTTGCCGGATAAAACGGAGAGGCCTATAGCTTACTTTTCTCGTGTTCTGAGCGCAGCGGAAAGACGTTACACCCAGCTGGACCGAGAAGCTTTGGCTATCAAAGAAGGAATACGTCATTCCAAATGTATCTGTGCGGACGCCGTTTCACTCTGATCACAGACAACATGCCGCTGGTGCGCATATTCGCACCCTCGAAGGCCTTACCAGCACTGACCGCGGCGCGGCTCCAGCACTATGCGATTTTCCTGCAGTCTTTCTCGTACGACATAGAGTACAGATCT